TCAGCACACATAAAATTAACCGTGGGAGCTGAGACACAAGTATATTCTAGAGCGTGGCCACCAGCCATTCTGTGAGCATGACTTCAGCCACAGTCAGTATCTTCCAGAGAAGGACAAATGAGAATCTTTCATTGTGGTGAGTTGGTTAAGAGAGTTGCTCCTGTGCTAGAGATGCGGGACATCTTTTCATAGGCTTCTTGCCCGATATTCTCTGCTGTGAACCATCTGTTCACTTCCTTTACCTATTTTTCTAATGGATAATCTTATTCTTACTTGTGAATCTGATTCACAAGTGTTCATTATAAATTTCAAATGTGAATCCTTTGCCTTTTATTTGTATATAAAAATAAATATGAATATTTTCCCCCGGGCTTAACTTTGCTGTTGTTGTTAGTAACTGTTTTACAGAAGTATTTTATTTCAATGTAATGAAATTAACTACTTTTCTTCTGATAGCTTTTGCTTTCTAGTTCTGTTTTGAGAAAGAACAGGGAGAATGCCTCACTATCTGGCTATTAAATAAATAAATATTATAAATATTAAAATATAAATAATATAAAATAAATAAGACCAAACCAAACTCACTGCCATTGAGTCAACTCCAACACATAGCGACCCACTTTGGGTCAATTCCAACCCTTGGCGATGCCATTGGGTCAATTCCAACCCATGGCAACCCTACAGAACAGAGTAGAATTGTCCCACAGGGTTTTCCAAGATTGTAATCTTTATGGAAGCAGACTCCTACATCTTTCTCCGATGGAGCAGCTGGTAGGGTTCAAACCACTGATCTTTTGGTTAGTGGCCAAGCACTTAACCACTGTGCCACTTAACTAGAGCTCTTTGTTCAGCTATCAACTCCTATGTCCAACTACTCTTATTCATCGGAAAACCTTAAGATAAAGTGATCACCTAATATGTCCCAGGCAGTGCTCCTGAGCTTCAGATCCTCATTTCCATCCTTTGCCAGACTTTCTCCATATGGGCACTCTAAAGCTTTGCTTGCTCAAAACCAACCTCTACTGTACCTTGGATGATGGTCATTTGGTCACATGCCTTCTATCTGGTACCAGACAGTGAGGTCTGTAGGGCTAGATCTATGTCTGATGCACCTTTGTATCCCCCAGAGCACAGAGCATAAGAACCTGTTAGTTATAAGTGCTCTGTTACTGCATTTATCACATGTTGTGTGATTGCCGGTTTAACAAACATCCTCTCTTGTGTATTATACTTTGAGCTTTTTAACAGTGGGCAATAATGAATGATGAACCAGTGAATGAACACCGTCTATTTTCCTCCTACACAACCTTCCTATTGATTTCACCATTTCAATGAGATCATTATTTATTATCACCACCACCACTCAGTCTCCCTTTCAAGGGATCAACTTCTTGGATTGCCATTGTCTCCTGACTCTGTCTTCTTTTAATATTTAATTAGTGGTCAAATCTTATTGCTTCTATTTCTGCAATCTCTCTCAAACTCTTTTTATTCTCCCTATCACCTTGGTTCAGGCCTCAATGACTTTGCAAAACTGTTTTGAATGGTCTCCTATCTGGGCTACCCACACCAATCCACATTACACTTGCCGCTGCCATAAAAACTTGCCCAAATCATAACCTCATTCTCAATTCCTCACTTACAAATCCTCAAAAGCTCCTTTTTATCCATTGAATTAATTTCAGATCTCTCAGCCTGCATATCAAGGTTCTAGACATAACCGCATATACTGTTTGTATTCTAACTTTCTACTGCTCATCTACTGACATCTCACCTTTCCTCCACTCCTCAATCACACTGGACCATTTGCTTCTTATTAAATGCATATTGTGTTTTCCATTTCTGTTACTTATGCCTGTGGCAGCCTCCCTCATCCTATGCTTCGAGTCCCATCATAAACACCAGCTCTTTTAGGAAGCAGGTCCTGATACCTGAGAAGACATACTCTGCCTCCTTTGAATGCATTCAGCACTTTGAATTTCTTTCTTGGAATCAATCTTATTTTATTTATAGTCATTTCATACTTACCTTGCCTACTGGAATACAAGTGCCTTGAGATGAGGGTCTGTGGCTTCCTTATTTTCAAGTTTCTCTGCAGTGCCTTGCACTCAGGTAATAATCAATAAATATTTGTTGAATTGAACAGTTCTCCCAACTTTACTGAAAGCTCCTTGAGCACACTGACTTTAAGAATCCTGTACAAGATTTCTCAATACTTAGTATCTTGTACATTGTAGGTCCTCAAAACATAGTTGTTTAAATTGTTTCATAGCATAAGTGGGATTAATTTAAAGGATTCATTTAGAAATCTGCCATCAATCAACATAAATGAAAAAGGAAAGAAACACTGAATCTAATATTCTTTATTTTTTCGTTTGGTTTTCTTTGTTGAGGCATTCATTTGGTTGTTTATATAAATTTATTTGGAGAGACTTTGGAGCTGAGTTGACTGTTATCTTTAAAGAAGTTGCTTGCCACACCTAGATGTTATGCAGTACCACTGAGTGGATTTGAACAGACAACCTCCGGTTTACAAGCTGAGTACAGATTGTCTGTGCCACCCAGGGACCTTTCCTTTGGTTTTCTTTGGTAAAGTCTAATTATTACTAGGTGCTTGCCATGTACCAGAAACTGCACTAAATATCTTACAAGGATTATCTCATGTAATGCTCTCAATAGTACTATGAGGCACTGTCCTTTCCTCCATTTGATTGGTGGCAGGTTTAGTGAAGTCAAGTAGTTCAATCATGAAGTTAGCAAGTAGCAGAGCTGAGATTTGAATCTAGGCAGTTTTTGCTTCTAGAGCCCAGTTGCAACCATCATGCCATACTGCCTTGCTTATGTTTACTGAGTACTTTAGTTTCAACAGTTTGTGTAAAAAAAAAAAAGAAAAAACCAACTTAGACTTACATTTTAAAATTTTTCTTTGTAATTCTGACTCTTAAATCATTTTTGCAATGTAAAAATAAAGAACTGTTAGATCAATTTCATCGACCTCCCAATGTAAGCTTCAAGTTTATGAAGCTATTCGTTTTCTCAAACAGCATGCATGGTCAATATGTGATTATGTACCCCAAAACACAGGAAGGTGCAAAGATAACACACTACCAGATAGCTTAAATAATTTAATTTTGGAAAGCAGTCTTTCTATCAAGGATAACCGTTTACTCTCTATTCCCTATGCAAATCTTTTCACACTTTTTAAAACTTCCAATGGTAGCCTGGACCCCGACTAGGTGGCAGAGTAAAGGAGTGTGGGGTTGGGTTATCACAGATAATCTTCAAATAGGTAAGAATGACCAGAAATTTCTCTTTTGAATCTCCATCCCATCTGCTATTTCTAACCACAGAGCTGGGAGAGGAATACATTAGCACCAGTAGTTGATAGACTGAGAAACTGAGAGAGAAAGTGAAAAGTTGTATTGGCTTTAAACATGATGAGAGCACAATAAGTAAAAAAAACTCATGAGCTATACAAGTCTGCTGCCTTTAGGATTCCAGAGAGACAAGCATGTGAGGTGGAGACCCACAACCGGAGTTGATACAAGAAGCAGCCACTTCCAGACCACGTCCCAGGATTTCTCCAGTCTTTGATGGAATTATTATTATTATTAAAGATAAGATTTATAATTCAAGCTCAAACGGTATCAAGCAAGGATAAACTCTGCTTCTCAGTAAAACAAAGCAGAACAAGGACTACTGATACCTCATCTACTCAACTCTTCTATTTATCCATTCAAAGTGAAAAGAAAAATTCATGTAAAAGTCTGATTATATTAATTTGTACTATGTAGTCATGGCTACCTTTTTCTGCATTTAAGTGCTAATGTTAAAAAAAAAATCACTGTACGTACAATGAACCTCTGTGATAGTTTAAAATCCAAATTCCACTTATAAAGAGACATTTTACTGTATAGAGCATTTTCACGCCTTTGAAAAAGACCTAAAATATCTAGTTGTTGTTACTTCAGCATTTCAAGTTGTAGATCGTATGTTCAAAAAAGGACAGAAGCAAAGAATTACCCTGTTATGTTGATTACCGTATCGTGGAAAATGACAGCCTTAAATACTCATGAACACTGGTTAATATTCTGCCAACTCCCTCTGCTGTAGCAGAAACCAAAAAGAAAAGAAAAACACAGCACATAATGGAAAAAGGAGTTTAAGTCAAATGAAAATGTTTTATGACATTATAAGCTTCTAAGAAATACATTCACTTAACCATGAAAAAAACAGCAAATATTCAATCCAAAAATAAAATATAAAAATAGTTTTGTTCCAAACCCATCGAAGAAATGGATATTCTTAACAATTTGTAATCTCTCTTAAGAAACAAGCTAATATGAAAATTAGCTAAATATTTTACAGAGACAGAATATTAAGATGGAAGGTAGGTACTAATTCATATTAAAGAAAATTCCTGCTTCAGACCACTATGCTTCTCCTATTAACTTAAAACCCACAATAACTTTAACATTGTGATTGTGAAGTACTGACTTTTTGGATACAGGTCTATCTTGTTGTTGTTGTTGTTATGTGCCATCAGTTGGCCCCGACATTATTTTCCTTTAAAAGGCAACTTCCTCAACTATGTTGCATGTTCAGAATAATAAAACTTAACCATTCAACCTGATGTGGATAAAAGCTAAAGGAGATGAAGAAAAGGAAAAGAGAGAGAGAGGAAAAAAAAAATACACCTTCCTCCATCAATCTCAATCCTACTTCATGTTTTTTCCTTTGGATTGAACTATTTTAAAACATTAATAACATTGCTAGCTGTATTTCCCCGGGACCATTCTCTATCTAGATTAAAGAAGGGCTTATTCAGGGATAAACAGGATACAGGAGGAATGGTGCAGCTTCCAGGAAAGGTATAAATAACTGTGGCATTTTCAAGAAATCACCTCTCAATGCATAAGTTGTAGTTTAAACATGCAGTGCAGATTTCTTTACAATGGTATCACCAAAGTTCATTGCTATATGAGAAATTTGATACTTACCAAGTTTTCTTGATTCCTGGCTGCTATTTTCTGCTCATCTTCAGCCCCATTTTTCATGTATTTGACCTCTTCCACTGGTTTGATCCTATACTCATCTGAGTGCCAAAAAAAGAAAAGACATTTTATACCTTTTTCCACAATGACGGAAAAGTGTCAGTTAGAAAAGCCCAAGGGTATAATTTATTAGAGCCTTTTCTCTGCTGCCTTTTCTGTGCAGTTCATTTGAAACAATCTAGAAGAAGCTTAACCAGGCATCTTGGATCTTTTTATGAGGCACTCTCCTCTGTCTATTGAGAAAAGTTCAGCACCATGAATGCAGCTAATAAAAGTCTCACTGTCTGGTCCTATCACAGGGAGAGCAAAAGGTGGCAGAGGAAAAAGATTGTTCCATCTATAAAGACTATTTAGAATCTATAATCCCTGGGTTACCAAAAAAATAACCAAACTCACTGCCGTTGAGTTGGATCTGACTCATAGCGACCCCTCCTTGGGTTTCTGAGTCAGTATCACTACAGTAGTAGATTGCCCAGCCCAACCTTCCTTCTGAGAAGTGGCTGGTGGGTTTGAACCACCAGCCTTCTGGTTAGCAGTCAAATACCTTAGGCACTACACCACCAGAGCTCATCCTTGGGTTCTATCACATAATAGTCTAACTGAAGAATGAGGAGAGGATTCTTGATTTTCCCTGTGAGAATATTAGCTCAAAATGCCCACGGCAGCAATTTTCAGCAGTATATTCACACCTTAATTTATCTTTTGGAAAAACAAAGCACTGTTTAAAACTAAAGGCTTGTATTTATAAATAAATTGATATTAACAACTGGAAATGGACATTTTCCTTTCTATGCTCCCCATATTAAATTTGGAGCAGTCTGCAATTATTTTATATCCTTTTTTATATTATTTCAATTGTTTCACATATTTTATATACATGTAACAACGCAACATACTGCTGTGGATTTGGATTCGACTCATTGCGACCACTCCTTGGGTTTCTGAGGCGTTATCACTACAGAAATAGATTGCTCAACTTTCCTTCCGAGGAGTGGCTGGTGGGTTTGAACTGCCAGCCTTCTGGTTAACAGTCAAATGCCTTAGGCATTATGTCACCAGAGCTCCTTTATATACATATATTTGATACTATTTTCTTATGCACACACACTTTCATCTCTCTGTAAAGTCGCATGCATGAAGAGTAATATATCAATATATCTAATAAGTAGGTGTCTCTGGGTAATGCAAATGGATAACATGCTTGGCTGCTAACCAAAAGGTTGAAGGTTTGAGTCCACCCAGAGGTACCTCAGATGAAAGGCCAGTAGTAGGACATTGCCTGGTCCTGCAAGATCTTCATGGTCCAAGAGATAAAAATAAAGATAAAAACAAATTAAAGATGGGCCTCCCGAACCTCCAGCTGGGACAGCTGTATTTATAAATCACAGCTCACTGGGATAATTACTGAAAAATCAGCCATTGAAAACCCTATAGAGCACTGTGTTACTCTAACACACATGGCCACTCTACTGCAACTTTTTGTTTGTTTTAGTAGATGGGTATTTCTTCAAGGCTGGAGGGTACCACGAGGCACTGATGGGACCTAGACCTCACAACACCCACGAAGAGTATAATAATTCCGATATTTAAATACATCATGAACAAACTTAAGAAAACTTTCAGCTAAAATTCTCCAGGGTAGAGATTTAGTTATGATTATGATATTTCCATCAAGTTCCTGTCAACAGGAAATGACTTGGGCACAGTAAAGTAAAAAATAGATGTGGCTTTGGGTCATTTTAAATCCATTTTGTGGGGAAAATCACAGGAATTATGTAATAAAAAAAATATTTATCAAGCAACAAATGGATGACTGCTGATCATATAGTGTGATAATGTTTAACTATGATATAAACCACCAGAAAGATGGATGTCTGTCACCAAGAGAGTGTATACTTCAGTTCAGGAAGTAACGATGTATTTTCTTATTGCTTATCATTAATTTAGTACAATTTAATTTGGTACAATGACTCTATTCTTATATAATCTCTCCCTTTAACACCACTTACAAATGCAGTTTCAAGCTTTTTCATACTATTCCTTAATACACTATCCCCAAAGATGTTGCTATAATAACATTTCTCCAAGTAATTAGGCTGTTCAAACGCTTCTCAAAATTATTATCTTTATGAATGTAGTACAGTTGCATATATCGGAATAAAGACTCCACATTCATGGCTAAGCCCATTGTTTTTTTCTACTTGATAATTCATTGATTCTGCTTCTGTCTAAGGAAATTAACAAGACTGGTGTCAGGTTAGAGTAATGAGCCCTTTATGATTACCAAGTCCTAGATGTATTAACAAGTTAATCAATGGATTCTGATCCACAATTATAACACAAAAAAGTTCACATTCCACTATGGTATTCAGAATAGAAAAGATGAAGGTAAATTAATAAAATAGACACATCTAATTAATGATTATTTACTCACAAGTTGGAAAAACAATTGGTAATTAAGGGGAAAAAAAGACAGTGACAAATTATGCCTCCAATACAATTGTTGCTGTTACAGTTGCCATCAAGTCAACTCTGACTCATGGAGATCTTATGTGTAATAGGACTAAACATTGCCTGGTCCTGCAAGATCTTCATGATCCAACAGATAAAAATAAAGATAAAAACAAATTAAAGATGGGCCTCCCGAACCTCAGGCTGGGACAGCTGTATTTATAAATCACAGCTCACTGGGATAATTACTGACATTCAACTAAACTCATTTTTTTTCTTAATTGCTAATGGCATGCAATTACTTAATTATAAATAATTATTAATGTTTAACACAATTCCAGTAGAGTCTATGCTTTTGCCCAAAGGACCCAAGCACTTGTGTGATAAATTGAGGAACAGCAAACTTTCTAAGGTCCCTGACGGCCCTTTGTCCACTGTAGAAGAAAAGATCACCCCTAAAAAAAATTTTGTGTTGTAATTGTGCATCAGAATCTGTTGATTAACATTTTAATATATCTAGGACTTGGTCCTCATAAAGAGTTCATAAAACTGCCCAAGCTTTGCCCACTGTCCCCCTCTTCCACCAAACCACAATCCAGTGTTGACACTTTTTGAGCATTCTAGCAATATTTACTATTCATTTTCTTATTCCTAAAGGGAATACAAGTGGATTAAAAGTAGTAGACAAACTATTAATATTTTTCTAATATTCAGTATTTTTCTAATATTCATTTCAATGAAATGGAATAGCTGTTGGCTATAAGATTTCTAAGACAATGAGAAAGAATCCCCACCAATTTAGAAGGAGAATAGGTTTAAATGTATCATTAACAATCACTGCTGGCTAGCTAGCACTGTGTTAGAGGAACACAATATGATTGGATACAGCGAAAGAAAAAACAAACAGCCAAGACTACAAAGCCAGACCTATTATTATTTACACAATACCCTGCACAAATCCATACAAGGTATATAAAACAAAACAACCAGCAAAACCTTCAGATAAATCACAATTTGTACAAAGCAAATACTTAAAAATGATCTGTCAGATTTTTCAAAGGCTGGTGCCGGGAATGAAGATGTCCATCTGGAAACAGACAACTCATCAACAAATGTGTCACACATTTCCATGGCGATGCTGCCACCAGAAACAGGGCTCGCCAATGGGCTGCTGTGCAGACAAATGGAGCATTTCGGTTTGTGACAAGGGAGCAATCAGTACAGAAACCCAGTTTTCCCTTTGTTTAAGCAAAGAGGGATTAATCTGGGTCTCTGGACCCCCTTTATTAGAGCCCACATTGAAGGTAATTAGCACAGCCACTGTTACCAGCCATAGAGTCCTGGCAGTAGAACAATGTGTGACTCGATTAAGAGGAGGAAGAAGCAAGGCCATTTTTCTCTAGCTCCCTCACACCTGTTCATGATTTTTCTTTTCTTCTTGTTGATCTTATCGGGTGCTTTATTAAAATGCATGTCAGGAACAGTAGGCTGACTCCCCAATCCAAACCTTCTTCCCGTTCTCTCCATGTAAACGGCTGCAGGCTGTGCCAGTCAAAATAGATCTGGGGTAACAGCATTGCTTCTGTGATATTTTTAGAACTTTATTCCTTAGATTACATCAGAAAGGACTAGGGCTGTTTTGGTGGCCATATAACACACCCGTTTCCCATCCTATCTCTGTAGCTCACTTAGGACCCAAACCACACACACACATACACAGAGGTTTCAGAAGGCATCTCAAGAGACCAACTGGCTGAATCTGCTTTAGGCATCACCCCCATTTTCTGGATCCATCCATTTCTCCATTATCAAGAATGCATTGGTTCTATCCCTGCTTTCCGAAGCTTCACAGATAGATGATCTGTGACAATGTTCCATTTGTAATTAATGGAACTGACTTTATTTAAAAAGAATCAACCAGGTAAAGATGGGATGCTTAAGTGTGTTTACAATGCCTGGATTATAAAAATGTTAGTACTCGAAGTTCCTGGGTGGTGCAAACAGTTAAACGGCTGACTATTTGGTGAAAGACTAGCACTTTGAACCCACCCAGAGACCTCCAAAGACAGGCCTGATGATCTGCTTCCAAAAGGTCACAGCTTGAAAATCCTATAAAACAGTTCCACTCTGACACACATGGGGTCACCATGAGTCAGAGTCGATGCGATGGTAACTAACAACAGGAACAACAAAGTATGATTAGTCTCTTATTATGCATCCTGAAAATGATTTACTCAAAAAGAAAAATATCAGTAGTTTTCATATATGTATGTATTAGATAAGGAAGAAGGAAAAAAGGCAGAAGAGCCCTATAAATGCTACTCTTTGAATTAAGAAGTTTTTTGTTTTTTTTTTAAGTTTATTGTGATTTGGGTAAAAGTTTACAGAGCAAATTCATCCTCCATACAGCAGTCCACATACACTTTGTTTCATTACATTGACTGCAATCTCCCACAATCCAACAGTTGTGTTCCCACTGCCTCCCCATAGTCACCTCTTCTCTGAGTCCTTCCCTCCCATACATTCCTGCCCCCCCCAGCTGTCTGCCTGTGCATACACAGACCTTCTATTCTCCCATGATTGAACTCTC